CAGTGGGATCAGGAACGGCCTCACCATGCCCTTCCCAGAGGGATCAGGAAGGATCCCAGTGGGATTGGGAATGGCCCAACTGTGCCCTTCCCAAAGGGACTGGGAAGGATCCCAGTGGGATTGGGAATGGCTGTGCCATGCTCTTCCCAGTGGGATTGGGAATGGCCCCACTGTGCCCTTCTCAGTGGGATTGGGAAGGATCCCAGCAGGATCAGGAATGGCCTCACCGTGCCCTTCCCAAAGGGATCAGGAAGGATCCCAGTGGGATTGGGAATGGCTGTGCCATGCTCTTCCCAGTGGGATTGGGAATGGCCCCACCATGCCCTTCCCAGTGGGATTGGGAATGGCCCCACCATGCCCTTCCCAGAGGGAGCAGGAATGGCCCAGCAGGATCGGGAATGGTCCTGCCGTGCCCTTCCAGCCTCCTCCTGCTGCTGGCAGCTTCCCGCACCTGCCGTGAGCTCCAGGCAGGTGCCAGCCCTGGGACATTCTGGATTTGTGCCAGGGAATGCCACAGAACCCCCCCAGCAGCCGGACACAGCATTCCCACTGCCCTCACGCCCAGCCCTGGCTGCAGCTCCTCATTTCCCAGACTTGGAAAGCCCCGGGGTGGGCAGGAATCTGAAACCCAGCTTCCCGAAACTCCAAGATCTCAGCAAAGCCGTGGGCAGGGCAGCCAGAGGGCAGCTGTTTGTCTGGCTGGGACTGGCCTCCAATTCCTCAAGGAAACTCCCAGAACTCCCAAACCCCTCTCCCTCCCACAGCCCCACACCTGCCAGACGGGAATACCCGACCCCAGCGGATAACGAGACGTGGAATCATCGCTGCCCTGACCCCGGGCAGCAGAGCTGTGGTTAAGGTCAACAAAAAATTGGGATTTATCACCCAAAGCCGTGTCCCCACACCTGAATTACAGCAGCGATTCCACATCCCCGCTCCTGCAGCAATCCCACGGCTTTCCATGGAGCTGGGGCTGGCAGGAAAAGGGTGCCCAGCAGGAGGAACCAGCCCTATTTTTGGAGCAGCCAGGAATAGGCACAGGCCAGCGGACGGAACCCATTTCCCCTCCTCGCTCACCTCCCAGCCCTTTTTCTGGATGCGAGATTTTTCCCTAAAAAAGCACCTCGTACTTAGAGATTTATTTCGTGCTCAAGCTTAGATTTAGTTTGTACTCCAGCCCTGGGGTTTAAATTTAGTCTGTCCCATTTAAGGCAGCGAGCCTGGCTGCATCCCCCACAGAACACCTTCCCAGGCCGGTTGTCAGCAGTTCCGTCCCCAAATTGGCTGCTGCAGAGCTGGGAGCTTGGTCAGGAATTGGCACCCAGCTCCCTTTTCCAGCCACAACTTCCATCAGCCGTGCCCTGCCTGTTGTTTTCGTGTCGTGCTCTTGCAACAGGAGGTGCCTGTGATTCACTCCATTTGTTTGGTTTGCTTTTCTTCTTTTTCAATCTGCGCGCAGCAAAACATATTTCTCTTTTTTTATTTTTTTTTCTTTCTTTTTTCTTTTTTTTTTATTTTTTTTTTTTCCCAACCAACATTTTCAGCTCCCAGCATCCCCCAACCCTGTGAAAAAGGAGAAAATAGCACTGCTGGGAAAGCAAGCAGCTTTCTCCTGGAAATGGTGATGCTCCGAGAGCTTTGTGGGAAAGTGTCCTACAAAGATGTTTCACACCATGGGACCACAAAAAAACCCCAGAGATGCTGTCACTGAGGAGAAAAAGCTGCTGCTGGCACCAGAAATCCCTCGTTTGCCACAAGGGGAAGAGACGAGGACCTTTAAGGATCCTCTCATCCCAATCCCTGAATGGTCGGGGACACCTTGCAGTGTCCCAGGCTGCTCCAAGCCACGGTGTTTGGCACCTCCAGGGATCCAGGGGCATCCACAGCTTCTCTGGGAACTTCATCCCGGCCCCTCCCCACCCTCACAGCCAGGAATTCCTTCCCAGCATCCCACCCATCCCTGTCCAGCGGCAGTGTGTGTCCCGTCGCTCCATCCCTTGTCCCAAGCCGCTCTGCAGCTCTCTCCAGAAGGTTCCGTGGGGAGCAGCCAGGGCGCGGAGAGCTCCCCGCCAGCCCTGCTGACACAGCTCTCCCAGACAAGGAGGCAGCCAAGCCTAGCAAAGCCCAGGAGCTGTTCCAGGCAGCCCAGGCGGATTCCCGGAGCTGCCGTTCCAGGGCCCCGCTGTATCCCGGGGCGGGCTGGGACCAGCTCACCCCGCCGAGGCAGCCGGAGGTCAGTTGGATAATCCTGCTTCTCCCACCCGCTTATCTCAGAACCCGATGCCTCCGGCTTCCAGCTCACCTGCTAATGAGCTGGGGATAATTAAACCGCCGGAGCCCATCCCCACCCCTCGAAGACGCGAGTTTTCCTCGGATGTCTGCACGTGTGGCTGAGCAGGGACAAATTCCTGAGAGTGGCAGCAGCTCCTGCGCTGCCAAGGCCGCGGGCTGCAGCAGCCCGAGCCCGCCCGCAGGCTCCGTGCCACGCTCAGCGTTTTCTGATGCTCGGTGACTTTCCGGTCAGCAGACAGCCGGGCCGGGTGTCCCCTCCCGCTGCCGGGACACCAGAGATGCGGGACACGGCAGCCGTGCCCGGGAGCGAGAGCTCCGCGCCCAAAGAACAGCCCGGCCGGACGGGGGGAAATAACCCAGGGAGGATGGGGAGGGAAGGGATGGTGGGGAGGGAAGGGATGGTGGGAGGGAAGGGATGGTGGGAGGGAAGGGATGGTGGGAGCGCTGCGCGGCGCTCGGATCCCCCTCGGCCGGACACGGGCGAGGACAGCCGGGAGACACCCCGAGAAAGGGAACCGGGCAGGGGCTCTGCCGGCAGGAACGGCCCGAGCGGAGATGTGGAGCTGAACTTTGCTCCGGGCAAAAGGAGGAAGGAATCTTGCGGAGTCAGGAGTGGCCGGCAATGACCCGGAGCTGGCCACCTGCGCGGGGGCCCTGGAGCTGCGGAACAGCGGGCTCCCAAGTGCTGGGAACTGCTCATGCAGGAGCTGCGAGCAGCAGGACGGAGCCGCCGTGTTCCTTTGTCTGCAGGTGTGAGCTCAGGGCTGTGCCACCTCGGCCTGGGGACATTTTGTCCCAGTTCCCCGCGTCCCCTCGCCCGTCTCTTACGGGGAGCTGGGGGCCAAAGCAGCGGAGGCCGCAGGGAGGGCAGGGTTTGGCGGAGCCGGGGAGGCTCCGGATGTCACCGAATCCAGCGCAGCTGAGACTTTCCGTGTCACAGCCTCGCCGTGGGGCACGGTGCTGCTGAGGGACGGAAAAGCAGCCGCGGCTTTGCCCGATGCGGGCAGGGAGGGACGGCCCCTGCGGAGAGCCCGGCTCCTGAAATCCGCACCCTCGCCCTGCTCGGGGCTGGAGCACGCCGAGGTGCCTTCGGCGAGCCGCATCACCTGCCGCTGCTGCGGGGCCGTGGCGTGTAAGAAATTCAATTAGGGGAGAGCTGCCAGCTCCCGCAGAGCCCGGGGCCAGCCCTGCAAACACAGCAGCGGGCCCGCAACGCCGCTCCCCAGCGCCAAGGAACGGGGGGCCCAGATGGAAATGAGCCCCAAATGAGGCTCCGTTCCCCCCGCACGGGCTGGGGCTGCAGCTGCAGCAGCCACGTGCTGAGCCCGGCAACGTGCGGAGCTCTCAGCCCGCCCGGGGCACCCGCAACTTCGCACCGCAGCACCGCTTCTTCATCCCCCTCCTCCTCCTCCTCCTCCTCCCTCGCCCACAGCCCTGCCTGGGGAGGGTAGAGGTGACACCAAGGAGCTTTTAAATAGGACACAGCTCTCTCTCTCTCTCCCATCCCTCGCCCATGGCAATCCCGCTTGGCCCGGAGCGCTGCCGAGCCCTGGGAAACGGAGGCACAGATAAGAGCAGGACGGAGATAAGGCGAGCCAGGTGAGCTCGAGCTTCGGTGACAGGTGCTGGAGGCCTTTGTGGGCGTGAGACACGAGTGACAGCATTGTGCAGGGACACAGGTGGCGATCCGATCCCTCCCTTTCCCCCGGTACCTCCCAGCCTCGGCGCCGTAGGGAGCGGGGGGGAGCATTCCCGGAGGAGCAGCAGCAGCTCCCGTCCCACTCCCGCTCCCTTTTCCCGCAGCCAGCGCCGGTGACGCCATAGCGGAGCAGCCTCCCCTGCCCTGCGCGCCGCTGCCGCTCCCCTTTGTGTGACAAGGTGACAGCGGAGGCCACCCCCGAGCCACCACCGCCCCCCCGGCCCGGCGAAGGGCACCGCAAATGCCAGCCCAGGGTAACAGATGGCACGGAACGGAGCGGGGGAAATGGGCGTTCTCGGAAGTTGCCAGGGAGCAACAGAGGAGCCCTTGTGCTGCAGAGCTCGCCCGGCAAAAGCCAACGGGGTCTTTGTTCCAGCCAGCCTGGAGGGGATTCATCCCAAAACTCGGGATAAAACCAGCGCCGACACAGCAGGCTCGGGAGCCTTGAGAACATTTCTTTGTTCGGCTTTGCCGAGAGCCGATCTGCTTACAAAAGTCCTTACGTGCCGCTTGTAAATTTTTCCCCGAGACCGGGGGTCCTCGGCTAATATTTACTCACCAAACTCGGCTGCGGCGAGCAGGGCGAGTTAAAGCAGATGAATAAGTGCATTAGCTATGTAAATACACTTCTCCTTTCTGGAGAACTGCAAGTTAGGAAATGTGTCCTGTGGCCGCCTCAGAGCTTTTTTTTTTGACAGCCTCTAATACACCCAGCTGGTAGGGGGCGGGGGGGAAATGCTTTTCGACAGCCTTTAATGTCCGAAGGTCTCGGGGAAATGCTTTTAAAACATTTTTAAAAAAAAATATTGAAAAGGAAAGAAAGGTCTAAAAATTCAATTAAAAGGCAGCAATCTCATCCCTTTGGCTTTTAAGGAGAGCCAAAAGCCTCCCAGAGGACACAAAAGAAATAAAAATAGCCTGCCTACTGCTGAAAGGACGAGACCCAGGTAGGAAGGAAGGAGCCGGCGCGGGGAGCAGCCGCATCCCGAGGGTGCAGCCCGGGACTCACCTTGGGGAGCCGCGATGATCCTGGGGTTCACCTTGGGGCGTCCCGCTGCCCACGCAGCCAGCTGGCCGAGCCACAGGGCCACCAGGAGGGCAACGGGCGAGCTCCTCCTGCCCATTCCTAGTCCGGCAGCGAGCGGGGATGGGGAGCCGGGCGGGCTGACAGCTGCATCTCGCCGCGTACAAAAGGGCTGCGAGCACCCAATGGCGAGGAGAGGGCGGGACTCGCCACGGAAGGAAAATGGAATAAAACACCCCCCAGCCGCTCGCCCGAACACCTGAGCTCCGGCGCTCCGTCTCCGGGGGTTTTTTTGGGGGGGTTTTTTTGTCTTTTTTTGGGTTTTCCTCCTTTTGCTGGGTGAGAGGAAGGTGCGGGGGTCGGTGGCTTTGTCACCCGAAAAGCCGCAGCTGGGCCGAGGCTCGCGAAGAACTTCCCACGGGGGCTGGGGAGGGGAAATAAAGGTCGGGACGAGTGAAAGGAGAAGGGAAACAGGGCTGAGAAGGGGGGCAGAGAGCGGTGGCAGGGGCTGGCGTGACGCGGGGCTGTGCCCGGAGCCGGTGCGCCGGCAGGAGCGGAACAGCTGGAGCGGGAGCGCAACAGCTGGATGATCCAGAGGAGCGGGATTGCAGCAGGGCTGCATCACACCCGCCTCTCCCGAGCACCGGAATGCCATCCCCCAATGGATGGGGACACGCCGGGAGCCCTGCCCGGGCGCCCCGAGCCTTGACACCCCGCGAGTGGCACAGCCACCTCCTCATCCCAAAGGTCCTCCCGGGAGCTTTTGTGCCGCTGCTTAATGGGAAAAGCAGGGAATTCCGAGCACGGAGAGCGGGCTGGGACGTGACGGGAATGGGAGAAGCCCACCGGGAATGAGGCGCAGCTGCTCCCTTTAAAGTGGCGCTTGAAGCTCAGCTCAGCCCCCCCTCAGCTCAGGGCAAGGGGGGCACTCTGAAGGAGGCAAAAATAAACCAGCCAGCCGGCTAATGGTGAATTTGAAGGAGCCACAGGGATTTCCCGGCTCCTCTTTGTGTGTGCGGGGGGTTCACCTTTCCCTCTGGCCACACAGCTGCCGGGGTAATTACAGGGGGAAGACACACTGCTCGCTTCTGGCCGTGGTAATTCCCAGCCCCGAAGCGCTCTGAGCTCACCCCCGACTGCCCCGGGGGCAGCTGCAGTGCCCTGGCTGCTCCCCGAGCTGCACTCGGATTCCAGCAGGAAAAAAGGCCATTTCCCCCAAAAAAACACTCCTGAGAAAGGAGATTTCTTCCCCAAAAAACACCCCTGAGAAAGGAGATTTCTCCCCAAAAAACACCCCTGAGAAAGGAGATTTCTTTTCTTCCCAAAAAACACCCCTGAGAAAGGAGATTTCTCCCCAAAAAACACTCCTGAGAAAGGAGATTTCTTCCCAAAAAAACACCCCTGAGAAAGGAGATTTCTCCCCAAAAAACACTCCTGAGAAAGGAGATTTCTCCCAAAAAACACTCCTGAGAAAGGAGATTTCCCAAAAAACACCCCTGAGAAAGGAGATTTCTTCCCAAAAAACACCCCTGAGAAAGGAGATTTCTCCTCAAAAAACACTCCTGAGAAAGGAGATTTCTTCCCAAAAAACACTCCTGAGAAAGGAGATTTCTCCTCAAAAAACACCCCTGAGAAAGGAGATTTCCCAAAAAACACTCCTGAGAAGGGAGATTTCCAAAAAATACTCCTGAGAAAGGAGATTTCCCAAAAAACACCCCTGAGAAAGGAGATTTCTCCCCAAAAAACACCCCTGAGAAAGGAGATTTCTTCCCAAAAAACACCCCTGAGAAAGGAGATTTCTTCCCAAAAAACACCCCTGAGAAAGGAGATTTCTTCCCCAAAAAACACCCCTGAGAAAGGAGATTTCTCCCCAGAAAACACCCCTGAGAAAGGAGATTTCTCCCTCAAAAAACACCCCTGAGAAAGGAGATTTCTTCTCAAAAAACACCCCTGAGAAAGGAGATTTCCCAAAAAACACTCCTGAGAAAGGAGATTTCTCCCCAGAAAATACTCTTGAGAAAGGAGATTTCTCCCCAGAAAACACCCCTGAGAAAGGAGATTTCTCTTCAAAAACACTCCTGAGAAAGGAGATTTCTCCTCAAAAAACACCCCTGAGAAAGGAGATTTCTCCCTGAAAAACACCCCTGAGAAAGGAGATTTCTCCCCAAAAAACACTCCTGAGAAAGGAGATTTCTTCTCAAAAAAACACCCCTGAGAAAGGAGATTTCTCCCCAAAAAACACTCCTGAGAAAGGAGATTTCTTCCCAAAAAACACCCCTGAGAAAGGAGATTTCTTCCCAAAAAACACCCCTGAGAAAGGAGATTTCTCCCCAAAAAACACTCCTGAGAAAGGAGATTTCTCCCTGAAAAACACCCCTGAGAAAGGAGATTTCTTCCCAAAAAACACTCCTGAGAAAGGAGATTTCTCCCGAAAAAACACTCCTGAGAAAGGAGATTTCTCCCCAAAAAATACTCCTGAGAAAGGAGATTTCTTCCCAAAAAAACACCCCTGAGAAAGGAGCTTTCTCTCCAAAAACACTCCTGAGAAAGGAGATTTCTTCTTTTACCCCTCCCCAGCAGCTGGGGGCTTGGCCTGGTTTTGACTCTGAGGTTGGGGGTTTTTTGTTCCACCTGCAGGTAAATTTTAGCCTCAGGCTCCCTCAAGATTTCAGGAGTTTTTGTAGGATCCCAGAATGGTTTGGGGTGGAGGGGACCTCCCACAAACCCATGGCGCTCCAAGCCCATCCTGGAGCACTTCCAGGGATGCTGAGAGGGAAGGATTCCTCCCTAAAATCCTTGAGAGCAGCCAGGGAAGCAGCTGGCTCCCAGAACGGTGAGATCACCGCCTGGGAAAGCGGTTCCAGGAGATGGGCAGGATGTGGATCACACAACCCCCAAGAAAACCCAACCCTTCCCATTCCCAGCTGCCTCCAGCCCTGGCCTGGAAGGAAGGACACACTTCCCAAAGCGGGGAAGGAGCTCGGAGATTGGGTTTGTTTGCTCAGGCCCATCGGATTCCAGGCAGGAATTCCCATCTGCTCCTCTCCAGGATCAGAACTTCTCCAGCACAACTCGTGAGCAGCTTTCTCCCAGATCATGCGCCTCGCTTCCAGCACAGATCAGGAGGCAGCCTCCCCCAGGAATCTTGTCAGAAGCACAGATTTTTTTCCCCAAGAGGAACAGTTTTACTCATCACAGACTGAATGTTTGTGGCCCAGGCAACCCAGAGAGCTCAGATTGCACTTGGCACCCGAGCAGGCGTGTGGTGATTTTCTCCACAAAAACAGATCTGTTACCTTCCCTCAGCCTCGGCCAGGAATGTGACCCTTGGAAGCACCAGCACAGCCGGATCTTCCAAGAAAAAAAAGGCACGAGCAGAGAATTCCTAGCCCTGGCTAAGGCAGGGAGACCTTTGCTGTGCCACAAAGTGGGTGTGATGCTCCCAGCACTGCCAGAGGGACCCTGCTGAGCTGGACAGAGGATGAGGATGTTCCTCATCCCCCTTTTCCATGATCCTTTCCCAGGCAAGATGAGAACGCTGCACATTTTTGGACAGAGGATGAGGATGTTCCTCATCCCCCTTCTCCACGATCCTTTCCCAGGCAAGATGAGAACGCTGCACATTTTGGCCCAGAGCTGGAAGAGCCTGCGCTAAACCTGTGGGAGGGACTGATGGCCCAGCAGGTTGGGACAGAACTTTTGGAAGATCTGAGCTCCCATTCCTCATTTTGGCTGCTAAGGCTGGGTTTGGAATGGGTGAAATTCCCCTCACAGCTCACTTGGTGCTGACAGGCCCTTCATTCCCCAGCTGACAGAGTGAGGAGGGAAGCAAGCAGAGCAGATCCTTTATCAGCTGCTGCATTTTCTGCTCTCCACACCCAAATTCTCTCTCCCCCCCCATCTCCCCAGCTCATTTTCCTGGCAGGCAGCAACCAAAAAACCTCAATTGTGCCTTCCCAAGGCCACAGCCCTGCGGAGTTTGGGGACTTGCCAGCTCTCCAGGCTCATCTCTTCGAGCTGGATGGAGTCTGGGGGCACTGATCAGTTGGCACCACTTCCCCCCTGGGTTCTGCCAAAGGACAGCACAGCACAAGTGCCACCAAAGGGATCCAAAAGCCACCCCCAGGCCTTCACAAACCACCCAGGAAAGGGGTGGAGGGGCCACGTGCCCCCGAGCTGAGATTTCCCAGTAGATTTCACCCCCTCAGAGAAGATTTCCCAGGAGATCTGGCCAGAAGGGAACTTGTGACTGAGCTGATTTGCACTTGGTCATTCTGAGAGCAGCACAAAAGCCCAGCCTGGGACTCCCCTTCTTCTGTGCCTCCAAAGGAAAGCCCGGGGGTTCGCCCAGGCCCTTCCAGGCCGGTGTCACAAGGTGATTTGTGACTTGTCACGGCTCAGGCTCCCCAAAATGGTATTCCCACGTCTGCCAGCAGCTTTGGAATGCCCAGGGAGGGTCCAGCACCCCCTAAACAAACTGATAACCCCCCGCTCTTTATCAGCCCCAGCAGAGCCACAAAATCCTCCTGCACACACCTGGTTAAGGTTTGACCCCTCTGCAGTCGGCAGCAATTGCAGCCTGCATTTTTCCGCAGGGAATCCAAACAAACTCCCCTGGATCGCGAGAAGCTGCCGGGAAAAGCGCCAGAGCCCTCTCCGAGCTGACCGGGCTCATCAAGCCGAGCTGCTGAGGAAAAGCAAACTCCTTCCCCGTGACCTTGGAGTGCCTCCAGCAGCGCTATCTGTCTCGCCAGGAAGGGAGAGACGGGGGAAATGTCCCTCTCCTCCCTGCCAGAGTGACCTCTGCAGCCACCCCCGGGGCTGGTGACGCAGAGGGACGGTGGCTGCGGTGACACCGCGCACTGAGATCTCCATCTCTCCCAGCAGGGTGGCCCCAGAGACCCTCTGGCTCCGGGAGCTCCCCTTTCATCCTGTGGCACATCTGCCCTTCCTCGTGCTGCCTGGCACCTGCTCTTGGGGCCTTTGGGACAGGGATTGGCTCAGGGAGTGCTATAAATGCATATCTTATTATCATAATATTATAATGAGAGTTATATGTATAAGATTAGAAAATTTAGCTATATTAATATAGTTTCCTTTATTTCTGTTATTAATTATTCTGTTATCTGTTATTAAATAATGGTATAATACATATATATGTTGAGCTATGACATAGTATTAAAACAAAAATTACTTTTGTTTGCATAACCCAAAGACTGACAAAGATAGCTGGAGACTCCCCTGCATTCATAATCTTCTGAAGACTGCAGTGACCAGAGCTCTGGGGGAGGAATTTATTGCATTTCTGCTATCAGGGAATGTAAGTCTCCATGGTGCCAAGAAGATTGATCTATTGGAAAGGGGGCAAGAAAAAAACTAAACAGAAGAACACCAAAAATCTTAAGAGGAATGTTTGAATCATGTATGAGAATTTATGGATGTGTAGCAGAGTTCTGTTTTTAAGGGACAATCCTGTGTTAGTAAGGTGAATGCAGAGACTCCTGGCCGTATCTGTACACTTAATTTTTATCTCCTAATTGTCTTTTTTATTAAACTTTTAAATTCTATAAAAAATATGTGAACCTCGTTTTTCACAGGGAGGAAAAATGGGAGTGAGGGGAGAGAACCAACAGCCAGGAACTCATCTGGGCAGACGGCAGCTGGCCGGAGCTGGGGGTGATTAAACCATGTGGAATTGAGAATCCTCCGGGGTCAGAGAGCTTAATGGATCCTGTGGGGCTGGGATCTGCTTCCCTGCCCTGGAACAGCAAATAAATCCAGCAGCACTCAGGGAAGCACTGGGGATGTGCTGGGTTGGCTGCTCCAGCGACATCGGGGGACAAAGTTCTTCCTGGCTGCCCCTGTCACCTCCTCGTGCCCCAGTGCACCCCAAAAGGAACCCTCAAAGCCTCACTGGGACCCCAAGAAGTGTCACAGCCCCAGCTGCTGGACAGCCTTGGGACACTCAGATTCACCACTCGAAGGGAAAACCTTGCCTGGGGTCTGTTCCCAACACCCCACGCCCAGACCTGGAAGTCCCCAAACCCCTGACAGCCAGATGCTGCCACATCTCTCAGAAACTTGTTTTTCTCTCCTCCAAAGTTGTGCTGTGTTCTTGGCCCTTGCAGGAAGAAAAAAAAAAAGGAACTCTGGCTCCCCTCTGATGCTTTTATAGCTCCTGGAGAGGAACCCCACAGCTCAACACTTGAATTACTTCATGCCTGCTGAACCAGCAGACCCCGCTCTTAAATCAGCATTTATTTCAGAGATAGATGGGGGAAAAAAAAAAAACCCTCTCAAAGGGATTTTGGGACACGTTTATGAATATTAGAACACTATAAATATAAAAGGGAACATAAGGAAATAGAAATATTCTCACAGGGTGACATTTTCGGCCCATTTCTGCTTTCACTAAATTAAAACAGTTGCCTGGTTTTTATTGTGGATCACGTGGGCCTCTCAACTCTGTAACCTTAAAAGGGCGCTTTGAGGGCTGAAACCAGAGCTCCCTTTTTGTCAGTTCTAACAGGGAAATTCGGGGTGATTCATGCCAGGACTGGGACCAAACCCACAGGACACGGGTCAGAACCTTCCTCCTTTCTCCAGAGGAAAAGGTAAGACCTTACTGCCAAGGACACCTCTGTCCCCTCCCTGAGACCCCTCAGCTCACTCAACCTGGAGCTGGAAAAGGAAGAAAAACCTCCAATTTTTGATGTGTTTTGGCCTTTCCTACAAGGACAAAGCTGGAAGCAGCCAGGAAACCACCGAGTCCTCTGTGAACGGTGCCAGACAAATTCCTGCTGCTGCTCCTGCTGGATGGACCCGCCCAACAAATGCTGGAGCATCAGAGAGAGTCACCTTCACTGGTTTTCTGGGATTGATGTGCCAGGGAGTTCAGGGCAAGGTGTGGAGCCCCAGGACGTGACTGGGACAAACTGGGAATACTCAGAGCTTGTCATGCTGGGGGAGGAAGAAGGAACAAACATTATCCCATGGAAATCTGTCCAACACTGGTTCAGACACTGCAAAAGCAATCTGGGAGATTCTGTTCCATCCCCATCCCACCTTTTTGCTGGAACATCAACCACCCCCAACACCTCAGAGAGACAAATCAGCCCGAAATGAGGGCAACAAGGAGAAAAAGGGCTCCAGAAAAGCAGAGCCCACATGGTACAGAAGCCAGCCAAACCTCCACCCCCTCCAGGTGTCCAGCGAGGGTCAAGCGGCGGGATGAGAAACAGGATTATGGAAAACATGGGAGGAAAAGCAGCTGCTCCCAGGCATCCCTGCTGTCACAGCTTCCCCTGGCAGCCCCAGCCAGGCCAGCAGGGAACCGGACAAGGAGCTGCTCTTTGATGTCAGAAACAGAAGGTCCCTGCTTACGTTGGGGAACTGTGGCCTGACCTCCTGCTCTTCCAGGGTCACTTCCCAGTCTGCTCCCAGTAAAGCCCCGCCAGGGATGCTGGGCTGGCGACAGCAGTGTGGTGGGAATAGGGGCAGGAGAGGGATGAACTGAGACCCAGCCAGGGCAGGGACAGCAGGGATGGAGCACAAGGAGCAGGCATCAGTTTGCTCTCTGTCGCATTCAGCCACTCACAGTTAGTGATAGTGACACCTTAAAGCCACCCCAAGGGCAGGGACACCTCCCACCAGGCCTGGGATACCGCCAGGGATCCAGGGGCAGCCACAGCTTCTCTGGGCACCGTGTCCCAAGGTCTCCCCACCCTCAGAGGGAACAATTCCTCCCTGAAATCCAACCTAACCCTGCACTTCCCAGCCTTTCCCCGCTGCTCCACGCCCTTGCAAAGCCCCGTCAGCATCACTCCCATGTGCCGGCACCGCTTCCACGTGAGGCCTGGGATGGCTGCAGGAGCGTTCCCAGCCCCCTCCCAGCTCCCCCTCTCCTGCAGGAGCTGCTGCAGCAGAGCTCCCCAGCCATGCAGGAGGCAGCAGAGCCTCTCCCCCCTTCCCCGCAGCTCCCCCCGTGCCTGAGCGCGGCTCTGCCGGGCGAGGGAAGCGAGCGTCGTGAGCGGCAGCGCTGCCAACTTCTCCTCTGCTGCAGCCAGTGCAGCCAGGGAATGTGCCTGAGATGCTGCTCCCAGCCAAGCCCTGCCGTTTGGGAAAGGAAATCAGGGGAAAGTCACTTCCAACCCAAAAATCCAGGCAGTTCTCAGCTCTCCGGGGGCGTGGGGAAGCAGAAATAGAGGTGAAAACAGCTCCGTGCCCAACGCGGGGCAACAGAAGGATCAAATATCCCAGGAGCGGCACGAAAAGCAGCGTTTTGGGACAGCAGTGAGCCCCAAATTGAGAATTCAGGTGGTGCAGGAAGGCAAACCGGACACGCTGGTCTCCAGGAGAGCCTGCAAATGATTGCCAGCTTCGGGCAGGAGCATCTGCGATCCGGCTAATCCGCGGTTATCCCGGAGGATTGGGGGCTGCGGGGAAGGGAGGGTGCAGTGCGTGTGCTCTGTCCTGCCCCTGCAAAGCCAGGAGCCAGGGATGGGATTAATCCACAATTACACAAAAAATCCAGTGTTTGCCGAGGGCAGGGAGAGGGGAGGGTGTCAGGAAAGCCACCGATATCCATCACATCTTATCCGCTCCAGCCCGAGGCACAAAACCAGCCCCTCCTTCCTCCCTCCCTGGGGCATTAATCCCCCGGGACAGGATTACAGCCTATCAGCGCGGGGCTCCCCGGAGAGAACAGCCCCGGTGATACCGAGATGCTATCAGCCAGGATCACAGAGCTCGCAGAGGAATTAGAGGGCAGCACAGCAGCCTGGAGGTGAAGCAGGAGAGCGCTCTCTGCTCTGCGCGACATCCGAGCAGAACCCGCTCCCGTTTTCACGCCTCGTTAACCCCGGCGCCGCAGCGAAGCCGGGCCCAGCTCCAGTCCTGCTGCCGCTGACTGCAATTAACGGCAAACGCCGTTAATTGGCTTTGCAGCCCGGGTGCGCGGTGGCACCCAGAGCGGGCTGTGACAGGGGCATTTCTCCAGCTCACGCTCAGCCCTTGCGATTTGTCACTGTCACCTCGCGGTGGCCGTGGACCGCCGTGCCCTCTGCTGAAACCTCCCAGCAGGAGGAAAGGCAGAGCTCTTCCTCTCCCAGGAAAAGGCAGAGCTTTTCCTGCACTTCCACTCCCCTTCCTGCCCTGCTGGGATCTGCAACGCAACCCGGGACAGAGCACAGCAGGCAGGGAACTGCGCAGGGTCCGTTTAATCCAGGGGGAGCACAGGGATGATGAAACAACACCAGGCAGAGTCGTGGTGACAGATAAAACATTGCACAGCTGCAGGGACCACGTCTCCAACACACAGCCACCTCTTCCCTTCTCCCGGCTGAGTCCTGAGGAGGTTGGAGATAGGATCTGGAGCTGCTCCCCACAGCAGAGGAAGCCAAGGAGCGTCCCCACGCACAGAACCAGCCCGAGGAACAGCTTACCAATCCGGCAGGAGGATTTAGGGGGCGCCCCCAGCGAAGATGAGCTCCAGGGCAGCCTGGATGTCCCCTCCGGTGGCCTGCAGGGCCCGCAGGCTCAGCTCGTCGTCGTGGATTCCCATGTCCCGCAGCTGCTGCAGCTGGGGCTGCCACTGGCTCTGCTGGCAGCAAAGAGAGATTGAGGGTGCCTGTGAGAATCCCAGCAGGAAAACCAGCACTGCCTGCTCTCCTGTCCTCTGTGCAAACAGCTCCTGAGAGCTCAGAGATGCTGCAAAGCCCCCAGATCCACCACCTCTCCGTGCCAGGAACACACAGCACTGGTACAGTGCCTGTGATGATGCTTCAAGATTTTAGCTTTGGTATTTTTCACGTTCTCGTGATCCTGCAGCTCTTTGGTGTGTAACTCTAAACTCCAAACTGAGTGTGAGCTGCTGCTTTCTCGATTTGGTTAGACACAGCAATTCCTCTCCAGGCCTGGCAGTCAAGGACACCTCACTGCCTCAGGCCCTGAGAGATGGAAACAAAAGGGAGTTGGGGGAGCAACCTTGGGGTAAATGAGTTCATTCCCTGAAGCTGGAATTGGGAAATTAACCCCCAATGTGCAAATGGACCAAACTTTTAATAAAAGCGTGAAAAAACCCGTGACCATTTTTGGGTGTAGCCCCTCAGGGAGCTTCATCTGCCCAAAATGTCCCTGAAAGCCCTTCGAGAAATATTTTTGTCTGGCTTTTAGGTAGCCCAGAAAGGCATCAGTGATGCCCCTTCTGTGTTCACATGGCACCACGGGAGGCAGGAGTGGAATGGAGAGCTCCAGAGGCTCCCAGAGGGAAGGGGCTGGCACTGACCTGGAGGCTGGGCTGCCCCGAGGCCTGCAGGGCGTGCTGCAGGGCCTGGCTGAACAGGTCGTTGGTGATGGGTGTCCCCGACTGCACGCTGGATGACATCGGGGACGTCCCGGAGGAGTGGCCCTGGGAGGAGGTAAAGAGATCAGGAGGAGTGATCCAGGAATTCCAGCAGAGAGCTACACCCGCAGCACAACCCCTCAGCCTCCATCCCACAGCGATGGGAGCTCCTCCACGAGGGAATGAGGGTGCCCCAGAGCTGACCCAGGCTGCGCTGGCCGACCCCTGGGTACTGGCATCATGTGGAAGACATGGATCACATGGATTTGCATGGGGGAATGCAGGGCCAGGGGTGCCAGGGCTGGGATCACACAGGGAACTCTTCCCAAGGGAATGCAGGGCTGGGATCACACAGGGAACTCTTCCCAAGGGAATGCAGGTTGGGATCACACAGGGAACTCTTCCCAAGGGAATGCAGGGCTGGGATCACACAGGGAACTCTTCCCAGGGGAATGCAGGGCTGGGATCACACAGAGAACTCTTCCCAAGAGAGTGCCAGGTTGGGATCACACAGGGAACTCTTCCCAAGGGAATCCAGGTCGGGATCACACAGGGAACTCTTCCCAAGGGAATGCAGGGCTGGGATCACACAGGGAACTCTTCCCAGGGGAATGCAGGGCTGAGATCACACAGAGAACTCTTCCCAAGGGAGTGCCAGGTTGGGATCACACAGGGAACTCTTCCCAAGGGAATGCAGGGCTGGGATCACACAGGGAACTCTTCCCAAGGGAATGCAGGGCTGGGATCACACAGGGAACTCTTCCCAAGGGAATGCAGGGCCAGGAGTGGCAGCCCCGGGCAGGGCTGGTGCCGGCTGTTACCTGTGTGCCCGGGGTGGGTGTGTGGGAGCTGCTCTCGGGGGTGCTGGCCAGGGCCAGGGCTGTGGCCAGCTCGCTCTGGGTGATGGGCCGCGGCCCTGCCGCCCCTGCGTAGCCCAGCGAGGCCGGGCGCGAGCCGGACGCGCTGCTGGAGGGGGTGGACCTCGTGCTCTGCGTGGAGGGAGGGAGAGAAAAGCGCTGGCTGTGACCTCGCTGTTTGTGCCCCGGTCAAACCACACATCCCTGTCCTACCATCCCCAAAACTCCCAAGGGTGGAACTTTGGAAAGGCAAACACAGCGGAGCAGGATGTGCTTTCTTTTTCCACAAAGTCAGCTGTGGAAAGCAGCAGGAAACCTTTCAATCTATCATCCATCAGCCCCAAAGCAGGGTGCTGTTAGCCTGGAACAAAACAATTCCCAGCTGACGGGCACGTTCGGACCCAAATACCCGTTTTTTTCTTATGGAACCCTTTGTCCTATGGAGAGGAAGACTGCAGAGGGGCAGGGATCAACATTCCCACACCATTTTGGCTACCAGGGTGTTCCCCCTGTTCCATTTTCCTGCTGTGTGTTCAGCACTGAGGAAAAGCCTCTCCTGAAGCAGCCAGGATCGATATGTTTGTCTCCACACCCCCTGAGGATGTGCTGGTGCTGTTCACCGGGCTTCAAATGAAACCCAAAACGAGGTGTTCCAGCTGCTCACCTGGTGGAAGTCATCCTCATCGTCAGAGAGCCCCTCAAAGAGAAAGCCACCTGCAGCAGAATAGGCAGCACAAGGATGTGGCAGGAATTGGGAAGCAGCTGAGAACCCCGTGGAGTTTTTGGCTGAGCAGCCAGGACTCGCAGCAGCGAGTTCCCTCTCCAGGAGGCCATACCTGGCATGTCCCGGTAGGAGCCCAAGGCCATGGCTCGTGAGGACGTGTCCGGGGCTGGCAGCGCGGTGCTGCCCGCCACCGAGTGCAGCACCAGGACAATGGCGTTCACCAGGGCAGGGTGGGCCGGGATCAACCTGGACACAGACGGGCACGGCTGAAGGAGGGCACAGGGGAATGCAGGAACGTGCCCTGAGCGACTCGGGGCACAGCCACCACCACCGCTGCCTCTGCTGCCTGGCACAAACTCCTCCAGGCAGCCAGGGACCCTTCTGGATCCACCCTGGACCTGGCCTCGGATCCTTCTGGATCCACCCTGGACCTGGCCTCGGATCCTTCCGGATCCACCCTGGACCTGGCCTCAGATCCTCCTGGATCCACCCTGGACCTGGCCTCGGATCCTCCTGGATCGACCCTGGACCTGGCCTCGGATCCTTCCGGATCCACCCTGGACCTGGCCTCGGATCCTTCTGGATCCACCCTGGACCTGGCCTTGGTTCACCCAAGATTCTTCTGGAGCCCATGGTGGATCTGGGCTTGGTTCCCCAAGGATCCTTCTGGAGCCATGTTGGACATGGCCTCGGATCCTTCTGGAACTCCCACCCTGGACCTAGCCTCAGTTCACCCAAGATCCTTCTGGAATCCATGGTGGACCTTTCCTCGGTTCCCCAAGGATCCTTCTGGAACCCATGATGGATCTGGCCTTGGTTCCCCAAGGATCTCTCCAGACCCAATCTTGCCTCAGTTCCCCAAGGATCTTTCTGGAGCCATGGTGGACCTTTCCTTGGCTCAGCCAAGATCCTTCTGGAACCCATGGAGGACCTTTCCTCGGTTCCCCCAGGATCCTTCTGGACCCAAGCTGACGTTTCCATGGTTCTCGTTTCCCACGTGCTCTCACATGGGCTGTGAGCAGCTCCATGCAGGTGTGAAGCCCCATGTGGAGGCGATGACGGCCCTGCCTCCCACCAAACACCCTCTGGATTAACCCAAGCGGTGGATCCCTGTTTCCTGCTGCTGAGGGAGAAGTGTCCCAGCCTGGCAGGCAGGAGCAGAGCTCTGTCCCACCCAGGTGACACACAGGCACTGCTGAGTCACTGGCCCAGCTCAGGGAACTTACGTGTCCAGCATGTTGGGGTCTGCAAACACGGAAAACAGATCCTTGTCCTGCAGAACTCCTGGAAAAGACCAGGAAAGGCAGTGAGACAGGATACAACAAACAGGAGCCGGGCACACAGAATAGGAATTGTTTTCCAGGAAGTGAGTCATGAATAAACACCACAAACACTCTTATTGTTCCTCTAAACCTTTGTGTTCCAGGAAGGGCCACACACCCGAGGGACGTGCCTTTTCCAGCAGATCCCATGGGGGCTCCACCTCAAGGGCAGGATGGAAGCTGGCCCTCAGCTCCACTGCATCCCAAATTCCACTTGCCTCGAACTGCCACTGTCCCAGAACAGCCTGGATTTAATGAACCACTTTGCAGCAGGGAGAGAGCATCCATCCCTCCTTCCCCTGATCCTCCTGAAGCCAGGATCCAATCCCATGGGGAGTGCATCCATCCCTCCTTCCCTTCTGAAGCCAGGATCCAATCCCATGGGGAGAGCATCCATCCCTCCTTCCCCTTCCTCCTGAAGCCAGGATCCAATCCCATGGGGAGAGCATCCATCCCTCCTTCCGGAGAGCATCCATCCCTCCTTCCCTTCTGAAGCCAGGATCCATCCCCAGTGGAGCACAAGTGACACCTGAGCAGTCACTGAATCTCATGCACCACAAAGGGACCAAAAATGAGTATTTTTTTTTAAATCTCCCTTTTTCCTGACAGGAATCCAACCTAGATTTGGGCCTGTCCCTTCCCCCATCAGGAATCAAACCTTTCCTCAGCTCCTCTGGGTCACAGCTGGACTCACCCAGAGCCACGGGGTCACTGCTGAGGCCGGGAGTAGCCACAATGATCTGATCCAGGGATTCCTTGTTTCCTAGCATCTTGAAGACCTGCCAGGGAAAGCAGAGCAGATTGGGAATGTCACCCACTGTGGGACTGTCCCCAGAGGGAGGGGACAGCCCAATTCCCCCCGGGAGCAGAGCACTCACGGCATCTCTGTAGGCAGGGCTGCTGTGCAGGGCAGTGTGCAGGACACGGAACTCCCGGACTGCTGCCACCTTATCCACGGGCTCTGAGGGGAGGAAACACCACAGCAAAACACAGCTCGGCCTCTGACAGCCATTTCACACCCCACTGAGGCTGTCATGCTGCAACAGGGATTCTTTAACATCCTCGGCTTGGGTGCAGCCGCTGCAGAGTAACAACTCGCTGTGCTCCCAGATCATAAAAATACCCAGGAATATCCTCCCACACGTGCCATTAGAGGAATGCCAGCTCAAACTCCCCTTTCTGTACAGTCAGGCACAGCAGAAGCGCACACCAGCCTGCTCCAGATTCCCTGGCAGCGCCCTAGAATGGATCACAGGCAATTAAGGAAGGGATGATCCCTCTCCACGCACAGCTCATTCCTTAACTCTTCTGTCAGCAGGAAACCAAAACCCAGGTGCTGCTGGGAGAGGTGAGGAGTTCCCCAACAAGGGGATTCATTCCCCTGGAAACCTCCACAGCAGCGAATACCAGGAGAAGCTGCTCCTCAGTCCCTAATAAAACACATCCCAAGGAGAATCCAAGGGGTGGATCTCTGCAGTTCCTCACCCGGTTTCTGGTCAGGCTCAGGCCAGGACTTGCGCAGGACATGGACAGTGGAGCCGGACTGGATTCCATAAAAATCCAGGGTCTGGTCATCCCTCAGCTTCCGGCCACAGTAGATCAGGTCTGGGGGGGAGAAACACCTGAAGATAAACCCGTGGCACTCTCAGATCGACCTGGTGGTCTCTAGGTGTGGCTTAGAGCAGCTGTAGCTGCTCCAACTGGCCAGGGAACAACACAGGGAAGTTGTGGAGCTGAGACTCAGGAGAGAAATCATGAAGCTGATCTAGAGGAGGTGGCAGAGTCACCCTCTGTGTAAGAGCTGACCTCTCTCTCAATTCTGACGAGAGAGCTCACAAGGACAGAGGTGGTGGGAAGCCCAAATAATCCTTAACAAGGGCACCACCGCGGCTGGAGCAACGCGACCCCAAGGGAACAGGGAAGGAACACCGAGCCCTCCCAGCATCAGGAGCAGGATGTCGCGTCCCAGCCGCGGAAAGGACGGGCCGAGGGTGTCCCCAAGCGGCGGGCCGGCCGCACCGATCAGCTCCCACACGCACCGATGAGCTCGGGGTCCGGCATGGATTCCTGCAGCTTGCCCGTGATGAGCTGCTTGAGGTGCGAGATGCTGCAGCCGCCCAGCGGGCACTCGCCCAGCTCGGTCTCCGGCAGGCGCAGGATGGATTTGGGGGCCAGCGGCTGCTCCGCCAGCTTCACGGCGATGTGCCACTCCGGCAGGGCCATGGCGGCTCTGCCGTGCGGGACAGCCGCAGTGAGAGCCCGCACACACACACAGCCCTCACCGGCCCCAGCGCCCACC